CCTCAAACCTCTGAACCCAAAACCCCAAAAAACAACCCCTAAACCCTATACCCGAAAACCCCAAACACCTTAATCCTAGGTCACCCGAGCCCCGTTGCCTCCTCCAGCCGCTGGCGCTCCCGAGCCAGGACCTGTTACAGGGTGCCGTGAGGGTTCCTTTGAAGGGATCTACAAGGGTTTGATAAGGGTTGCAAGGGCTTAGGGTTTAGGGCTTACGATTTAGGCTTTTAGGTCTTAGGGTTTAGGCTTAGGGGTTTAGGGTTAGGTTTAAAGTTTAGGTAGCCCAGAGGGTCCATATACGTATATGTATAATATATATATATACACACATACATACATACATACATACATACATACATACATACACTATCATTATATAAGTATGTCCTAAACGACCGTCCTTATTATGATTTTGAGGACTTAATTCCATCATATAGTAGTGTATACGGACCCTCATGGTAACTATACTGTTATCATTACCCATAACTCCACTGAGGGTGGGTGGACTCGCAGGAAGCCAGTCTTTTTGCTTTAAGCTTTTTGTTAAGTCGATTTTATGGCTTTGGGGTTTATGACTTAGATGGATTTAGGGTTTAGTTCCGCGAGTTTTTCGCGATATGTGTTATGGTTGTGTAGAACCTCCCCTGAAATAAAGAGTGGCTGGGCCGTTTTCGGGACTTGCACGGGGTTGGGCTCTTTGACTTTCTAGCGGTTTCAAGTCGAGCAAGGGCTTTAAAACTTTCGGGGGCTTTGTAGGGTTTAGGGTTTAGGGGTTTAGGATTTAGGCTTTAGGCTTTAGGGTTTAGCCACTTGGCAGGCCTATTGATGGTTTTAGCTAACAGATTGGGCCTTGGGGCTTTGCACAGTGTGGCTTTAGAACAGGTTGAGTGGGGGAACTTCCTGGGGTTATCAGCAAGAAGCATGTGTCGAAATGACAGCGGGGTGAGAAAACTGGTTGTAACAGTTATCAAATACCAGAAACAGTGAACATGCATAGCCAACACTGGAAACGGCAGATACAACCATCAGGCATACTGGGAGTAATAATGGCCAGACACGGACAGATACAGAACTGTAACAGAACCAAACTGACACCAACACAAATAACAAATAAAACACAGTTAGGGCAAGGATAGATCAATGATGATTTTCGAAACCCTGAATATCTGAGTGGTAGAAAATGCGATAAAGGTACGTGCTGACAGCAACAAGATTAAGACTATCAAGGCTAACAGCGGCTAACAAAACAGTCATCTCTATAAGCAACCAGAATTGCATCAAACTGTTTGAAGAAAAACGCTGAACTTTCCGGGCTTGCATATAAAAATATGCTCAAGCACATCGTATGTCTACAGACACAGGGGTAGTCCTCTAAATCAGGGTAGCTTTTAGCTCCCCCAAACTGCCACGGCACCCTTATGAAAAGGACACCAAAAGGAACCCTACTCTACAGAACCCCCTAAACCCTAAACCCCAAACCCTAAAACCCTAAACCCTAATAACCCTAAAGCCCTAAACCCTAAAACCCTAAAACCCCCTAAAACCCCCTAAAACCCCCTAAAACCCCCCTAAAACCCTAAACAAAATTCTACGAATCTCAGGACCAGGCCGTCGATCCTTCGTTCAGCTGCTGCCGCTCACGTGCAGCCTGTGCTCTCTGTGCTCTCTGGAGACCCAGAAGGCCGCCGGGCGCTGTTCTAAGACTGCTTCGGGTTTAGGGTTTAGGGCTTTTTGGGGCTTTAGGGTTTAGGGTTTAGGGTTTACTATAGAGTTTAGGGCTTTTTTAGGGTCTAGGGTTGTTTTAGAGTTTAGGGTTTAGGGCTTTTTGGGGCTTTAGGGTTTAGGGTTCAGGGTTTACTATAGGGTTTAGGGCTTTTTTAGGGTCTAGGGTTGTTTTAGAGTTTAGGGTTTAGGGCTTTTTGGGGCTTTAGGGTTTAGGGTTTAGGGTTTAGGGATTACTATAGAGTTTAGGGCTTTTAGGGATTTAGGGTCTAGGGTTTTTTTAGGGCTTTAGGGTTTAGGGCTTTTCGGCTTCTTTTAGGGTTTAGGGCTTTTGGGGTTTAGGGTTTGGGGCGTTCAGGGTTTAGGGTTTAGACTGTTTCCCAGAGGGTCCATATACACTGACATTATGGAATTGGGAGCCAAAAGACCATCCTTATCATGGTTTTGGGTTTTGGGGACCTAATTCCATAGTAGTAGTATATATGATATGGACCCTCTAGGTTTAGAGTTTAGGGCTTTTAGGGTTTAGGGCTTACATAGGGTTTAGACTGTTTAGGGTTCAGGGCGTTTAAGGTTTTTCTTTTTCGAAGGCCTTTTGATGAAGGTTTAGGGCTTAGGGTTTATACTTTTCCAGAACCAAAGTATAGTAATTCCTAGGTACTTGGGACGCTTGGGGGAAACCAGATAGTTTAGGATGGCTTGCGGCTTCACCCACAAGCCCTGAACCCGAAAACAATATGCTAAATCCTAAACCTGAGATAAACCCTAAACTCCTAGACCCTCAGCCTTAATTACCTAAATATCTAAACCCCGCACCTTAAACCCGAAGGGTGCTAAGTCCAAGCCCTACAGTGATGTGAATTTGAGGACTTGGGGCTTCGCTTGTGGAGTTAGCTTCCTTCGTGAGGGTCTAACTGACAGAGCCCACGGTTTAGGGGTTTAAGGTTGAGGGGCTCAGGGTTTATGTTCAGGGAGAAGGGAACCTCTGAAGATTTACACCGAACCATGCATGGCCCTATCTTCGGAGGGTTTGGGGTTTACGGCTTCCGGTTTCGGTAGACTGTCCCTAAACCATAAACCCCAAACCCTAAACCCCATGACAGGAACATGCACAAATCCTGCGGAGCGCCGCTAACAAGCCTCTTAAAGCCCTGCAGTCCGAGACATAAAGGGGCCCGAAGGGTTGCGATAAGGTTTTGGAGAATATAACTGCACGGCTACATTCTCTAGGCATGTACGGCCTGTAGGGAGATAACTTAGCTGTTACTGACAGGTCATTCTGACTCCAGAGACGAAGGAACCCACAAATCGCGCCACAAGACCAAACCCCTTCCCTCACACCCTGCGATCCAAATCCCGGTAACCTTGCGTAAACTGCAGAATCATGAAAACCAGCAAGCCCGAATCCACTGAGCTCTAGAAGCTACGCAAATTCAACAAGAACAGCTTTAATGTGATCAGGGTTCGCTTCTGAAGCAATAGTTTTACTGTTGTGGGGTGGTGCTATGTTGTTGCTTCTCAAACCATGTGGACTCCTTGCTTTCTGCTTCTATCAACAGAACACTCGCGACAAAAATTCATAGACGACGTTCACTATTGTTCCAAAGAGGATTCTCTTGGCCCATTTCCTGAAAATGACCCGGGGTTCTCCACATGCATGGTTTGAGGTATGTTGCAGAATTCGCGAACAAAACAACCTTGAACCCAAAACCCTTAAATCCCTAACAACCCCTAAAAACCCAAAAACCCTTAAAACCCTTTAAAAACCCTAAAAACCCCAAAACCCGAGGGCCTCCTTTAAAAGGCCCCTCCCACGTCCGGGCCTCGGCTTGCGCCTCTTCCACCAACTCGCGGAGTCCCGCGGAGAACTTTCGGGCGGCCTGGCGCATTGGAGTTTCTTGCAAAGGGCTCGGTCTAAGGGGCGTTTAGGGTTTCGGGTTTAAGGCTTATTGTAGGGTTTAGTTAGGGTTTAAGGTTTAGGGTTCAGTTTCTTGCAAAGGGCGGGAGTTAGGATTAGGGGGAACCTTGGGGATATAGACCCTCTCAATACGATCCCTTTAAGACGTTCAAGGTTTAGGGTTGAGGGTCTATAGGGCTTGGAGATGCTTGGGGTCTAGGGTTTAGGGTTCAGCAATTCGGGTGCACGGTTCCATATGGGTTCCGTAGGTGTTGATATTTTAAGGTTGCTATGAGAGTTCAGGAAGTACGGTCTCAAGGGTTTAAGATGTTTTTTGTTGAGGGCCGCTAGTCGCCCGCATGGCCTGCGGAGCAAGCAGCACCAGATACACGCTGGACTTTCCTCTTGGAGACTTGCTCGAGTACGTACATACATATATACATACATACATGTGCATACATACATCCGTACATCCACACATCCACACATCCATACATCCATGCATACATACTTACATGCATACATATATCAACTGCTGCTGAGTGAGGGCAATATCCCAACCAAATCCTAGACCGCAAACCCTAAACCCTAAACCCCCAAACAAACCCAAAGCCCCACACCCAAAACCCTAAACAAACCCTACACCCCAAAACCCTAAACCCTAAAACCCCAAACAAACCCTAAGCCCTACAAAACCCAGACCCTAAACCCACTAGGGCTCCTGGCTTGTGGATGAGCGACTCAGAGGAGCGACTAATCAATGGCTCAATTATTTCAATTGGTAGGCTATGCCTTTTGAGACCGGAAAATATTGCTCCGTGTCTCTTCATATATATATATATATACTCATAGATGTAAGCACTGTATATTATATATCTGGAGTGTAACGCACTTCAGGCCCGTGTTCTGCGAGGAAAACACGTGCTTTTGCATAGGTTTTCAATACGTCCCAAGCACACACGACAAAACCTCCTGAAGAAACAAGCCCTTACGAAGCTGACGTCCGCGAGTGTAGTAATCTGTGGCTGAGACCTCATAGGAAAGTTTCTTGTTCGTACATCTCTCGTATGGCAGAGGTCTTTTGCTAAGACTCGCAAGCGACTTCATAGAATGTTGATTCTTTTGTGCCCGTATGTATCTTCCCCCTGTCGTTGAATGCTAAAGCAGAGAACAACATAATTGCTCCCCCATGCATTAATTAGCGGCTAGCGCATTAACAAGCTGAACATTGAAGCATTCTTGTCGGATACCCCGGTGCATCAAACGACACGGTTCAGGATACTGCTTATTATCAAACAAATGTTGATGTGCCATTCCTTCTTGCTTCTTGTCTGCTTGCACACGTTGGCTCTCTTTCTCTTTGCGTATGTGTGTGCGCCTCTCACTTTCTCTTGACGTTGTTCTTGACGACTTTGTTGGCAGGCTTCTTGTGGACCGGCTTGATGAGGTTGACAGAAGAAGCGGGGCGACGGCAATGATACTTGTTGCTGGCAGGCTTGCGGAGGACGCGGGCGGCCTTGGCGATCTTCGAACGACCGCTGAATGCGTTGAGATGCTGAAGTCTGTTCTGACGGACGAGGTTGTTGTGCATCTTGACATACAAGGGCACATAGAAGACATGCGTGTCATGTGCCTTCGTGTTGAAGCTAGAAGCGTAGCCACGAAACCATGAAAATGTCTGCTCGGCTATGGAAGAAGTAACAGGGCGTAGACGTAGATCAAGTCGACGGACGTGAATGGGCGAGCAGGGACAGGAAGCGGAGTGAGCCTTTGCATGGAAACGGTCAATAGACCAGTACTTCACCTGCTTGAATTCCTTGTCTGTCGCGAAGGATATCAAGCACACGCACACACACACACACGCACATCTTGTAGATGACGCAGATGTGCGCAGTTGAGGTTAACAGCATGTGTGATAACCTTCCGCAAGACATTCTTTGCGACCGCGTTGTTCTGAGGCTCTTCCATACCAGCCATAGACCCGCCCATGCCACTACGGGGATCGATAACCATAAACCAGCCGTTTTGACGGTGCTTGTTGGCACCGTCCTTTCTCGGCCGTCCCACATGTACAGGAGGAGGCCCTTGGCACTTCGCCGATACTTTTGCATGACCATCCATGACGACTTCGTTCACGGCACGCCATTCCGCCAAGGAGAGCTGCTTGCGATGCCACCAATCACGATAGAAATCAAGGAAATGATTCCCCAAAGGCTTCTCGACAAGGATGTTGAACAATTGCTCGCGACCCGATGGGGTTGTCCACATCTGCGTGGCTTCCATCAAGACTTGATAATAGAGTTGTGCATTGGCATACTCCATGCGCCATCGAGCGTGCTGGTCGCAGTTCTCCCACATTGCCTCGCCCTGTGCGAACATTATGGCGTCGTGGCTCGAACCACCACGGAATTGCAAGGCATTGCACTAGTCCAGGAACTGCCGGCTGAAGCCAAGTTTGCTATTCACGAAGATGTAATCCGTCTTGTCGAGGTCCAGGCTGTGGTACTTCTGACCTTCCACTTTCCTGTGGTTATAATGATGGTGTGCTCGACATGTCTTCTTGGAACAGCGCTTGATCATCATAGAGACTTCCTCCACACTACCAAGACCGTATAGCCGACCAGAGACTGCGTGTGCATGCGCTAGCGGCGCGGCACACTCGAGACAAGGTGTTACGGGGGTAATAATTTCTGATGGATCACACCGTCTTGGCATAGTGGGTGCAGCTCCACGTAGATCATAAACATGACCTTCTAGCTGGTCTTCGGGAGACTGTGAGAGAGAAAGCTGGAACCAGGTCAGACCGTCTGGTGTAATTAGCAGGATCTCTCTGATGCGAAGCACGGTGAGATCCACAAGGCGACAACGTCCTGCTGTGGAATCAACCATGGAGAAAGAGTCCGCGGCGTCACACCTGATACCCCACCAGTGGCCTTTGTCTCCTGAAAGAAGTTGATGTACGATCCATGTCGTAGCAGGTGTCATGACTTCTGTCATATCTCCTTGGCTCTGAACATGTCGCAATCGCCATTTGCTGCTCGCATCAGTTTGCGATCCATACATCAAGTGTGTGCTGATGTCCTTGGCGGACAGCGCAGCATCGTCTGAGTCGGGTTGGGTGCCGGCAGCGAGGCAGAAACACTCGCATATCCACATCACGAGAATGTATGATACAATAAATGTTTACAACGGTACGGACTCCGGTGATTCATAAAGATAACAACACAGAAATGTATGCTATTGGTAGCGCTCTGAACGGCAGGGGATAGGAGACGGCAGGGGGGGGGAGGCTCCCCCCCCCGCCAAAA